CCCCTCGCCTTCTTACAACCTGTTGCACACCTATTGCTTTCTATGAAATTCTAGGAATACAAACAATTTTAAAATGGGAGTGGTCACAAAAATCAGTCAGAGAAAATACAGAAATTGAACATTTCAAAAATGTTTGATTTCTTTGGTTAAAGCTTTTTATTTGGATCTAAGAATAAAGTTAAATGTTTATTATAGGTCTTCTCAACGTAACTTGTCTTAATCTCAAATTTATTAAATATGTTCATTAGTCCTTTTTATTTTCAGTAAGGCATTTAAATGATAAAATTATTAATCAAAAAATTTTTTTCTGACTTAAGTTGTTAGAGCACGCAGTTTTTAATCCTTGTCATAAAATATGAGTTTGTTTTCGAACTTCAGCTTATTCAGCTCATAAAGGTTTTAATAAAATCCACGCGACTTTATTGGCTTTATTTTTAAGAAAGAATTGGAACTGGTTTAAATTATTATATTTGTTTTATCCTTAACTCAATTCTTTTTTTTTCAAAAACCGATTAAAATTTGGTTAAAAATGTTAAAAAAAAACAAAAATTATAAAGATCTTGAACATCAAAGGTTGTAAAAATTGTTTGATGGATGAAAGATGAGTTTCTGCACAAGATAAAAAAACACTAGAAAGTTTAAGGCACGTCCCACAAACCAGGAATATTGGGAAAGAAATGTATTCCAATTTTATCTACTCCCATTCACCTCAGCACCCTTTCTCTCTCCCACAATGCCGACTGTTTCGCCCCTTTACCCCCTTTACCCCTTTTTCTGACAGATCGTTCCTATTTCCATACCAGTTCCCCCCCGATTTTATATTTTCTGGCGCTCCTAATTTTTCCCTAGCTACCCCTTTTTCCTTTAATTTTTGAAATAAATTATTTTCTATAGTATATTTGTATGTTCGATCATAACTCATAATGAAACCCTTGACCGATTTGCCTTAAATTTATGCTTGGGAATTTAGCAGAACCACGGGAATATTCTGAGCTGGGTTTGACAATTCTAACTTGAGTGGGGTTACTTTTACAGAGAAATTTTAGTTTCAGGCAAAGCTGGGTTCCCTTAAAAAATTAATATAATATATATTACGCATAAATATTCTCACACTAATATTCTTAAAAAAAGAAATATGAAAATTAAATAAAGAATAAAGTTTTTATTTTCTAATCAAGTAAGGGTTGAAAACATGTTTTGAGGATTTTGAAAGTTTGATCAGTAATGGAAAATTGTTTAAATAGCAGCAAAAATGAAATGGGAGAAATCTCGAAAAAGAAGCTCAAATACGTAAAATTTGAAATAGTTTCCATAATTTTTAAAGATTTATTTGACTTTTTTTTACTGTAACCTTTGTGACAGACCATGAAAAATCCTCTTATACAGGGTCATTGTTTGTTATTGCAATAACGAGCAAAAACATTTTTGTGACGCTGCTTTATGTCGGGGATGACCTTATTAAATTTTTTATGAAACTAAATATATATATACTTTATATTCTATATATATACTATATATATATATATATATACGTTTATCATTCTTCCTCACTTCATCGTGAATTTCATAATGAACGTGCTGTAAAGGAATTTTCGTGCTATAAAGTTAAATTAGCTGAATATTACAACACATGTGCTAAAATGTTATGATTGGTTCCCGGATTTTCTCCAAAAAATTGAGGATATTTCCCAAATGATTTTTAAATCAACGTTATATTTTGACTTTTTCTTTGTTTCAAAGCTTATTTGATCTAGAAATGGCCATTGAAATAAGAAAAAAAAGTTTCATAAAATTACACATAAGACTATTATTTTGGCTCGACGTGCTATAAAGTTTTTGGACTTTTTTCCTCTTTATCGAGAAGGTTCAAGCCTTTTTAGATTAAAAAAGGCGAAAAGAGAAAATTTTTGCCCAAAAACTTTTTAACATGCGAACCAAAATAACAGTGTTATAAATAGTTTAAACTATTTGTTTATTTTGTTTCAATACTTTTTAGTTATAATAATTTTTTTATTTGTTTTCCCTTTCTTGACATCAAAAACTTATTTTTGGTATATTATTAATTTTTTTTGGACTCCTTGTTAACTACCTTGGTGTGTGCACTATGCAGTGTACGCAAAGTGCAGAATAAAGCTATAGTTCAACTCAGGCAGTAGTCTACTGTCTAGGCAGCCTACCTTATATATATATATATTCGGCTTGGATACCTGTGAATACAACCTGTTATGGCTGTCATGCCTGCAGTGACGCAGTCTTCCTTCCTCTGTATTCAGAAATTTTTCTTTTTCTTTCCTATTATACAAAATTGTCTGATATGGCAATAAACTCCTCCCCCCTCCCTCCCCTCTCTTCGTTTCTATTTATGTTGTGTTATCAGGCTATTTTCTAATATTATCGAGTATGCTTGGAAATAAAACAGTGATAGATATTTGCCATAAAATCCCCCTTTTCCGTTTTATCCCATTTTTCTTATGTAAAATATTAAATTTGAAAAAAAATGTAAATTTCTCTAACATGCATCCCTATTGTGAACCATGATTCATCGAATATAATGTAAAGCTTAAAGTTTTCTAGAAGTATTCTCTCAGGAAAGATAAGGCAGTTATTCCATAATATTTGTCCTACGCATAGCTGGTACAGTTTATTTAGTTAACATTTGTACTTGGGGTTGCCCGTGGTATTTTACATCGTCCACTATTCAGCAGAAAACTACCTTATGTCGAGGAACATGCCTATCCTATCCTATTTTACCCGTGGGGAAAACTGCATTTATTTAAGTAACATCTCTGAGCTAGTGGGACGGTTTTGCCAGCTATTAAATATGTATCCGTGTACATAAATATACATAATATTTAGTGTATACTGTACACTACAGTTACACTAAAATTCACTAAACTAAAATTCCAAAAAAACATTTAAAATAAAGAAAACTGCATATTTTATATTTCACGTAATTGGGATTTTTTTTTGACATTTCTCTTTCTTCCCTACAAAATAAAGTTGTGTATGTATTTCATATATTCCAACGCTCAGCTTTATATCATATTTGTTCCATAGATAGTACTTGATATACAACAAAGCTGAGTTACCACTCCTATAAATAAACTAGAATTATCTGGAATTCATAGATAGATAGATAGAATATATATATATATTTTATTCCAACTGATGATTGGGTTAGACCCATGAAACATTTTGTCTTGGAAGAAATATATATTTAAACATCTAAAATGTATATTTAAACTGAAAAAGTTGAAAATACTATATATATATATATATATATAGAGAGAGAGAGAGAGAGATAAGCTCCTAAATGGATACGTCATTGATCTCATAATCGAAAATACTTTGTAACTCCTTAAATTTCATTCTAAATAATTGTTTTTCACAAATGGCAACTTTATAATTAATTAATTAATTTAGACCAGCACCCTTGAAACCTTGATCTGGTCAGTGTAAAATATTGTTGATTCTCTAGGTTGAAAAGGAATTTAATTCTGATAATTTCTCTACGTTTTTCTGTAGAAATGTGCATGTTACTTTTGTTGTGAAACCACAATGAAAAGTAATCAGTTTTCAAAATCATTAACATTGATATCTAGATCATGCTTCATCGGAGAAAGCATATAAGTGTACTGCTGTGAATAGGGTTTGAAATTACACTAACAGTCCCTTTTAGCTTTAAGCCTCCCCCCCCCCCTCCCTGCTGCTTCCTCTTTATATTTTACAGGTCTATTATTTTCAAGGAGAATTGAATAGAAGGAGGGGGCAATAGGGTTTCCGTACACTTTGCTGTGACGTTTTTGGGCTGCTGGAGAACTAGTTTTTGCGTAACAACAATATACTAGGAATATACCAATATTCACGAATCGCGTATTATTTTGAGAATTATTTAATATTTATTTAGCATTTTTGGTCTTTCATAAACGTACTGAGCTAAAAACTTTAGAATGGGATATCCTTAATCCCAATCTGTTAATTAATCTGGAGATTAATAACAAGAGGTGAACAAGCACTATTTAATATGGAGATTAAGAAAAAGAGGATATCAAGCATTGATCTCAATATCCACCATTTTGAAGTTTTCAGCTCTGGCTAAATAATTAAAAATTTAATATATTAATTTTGATATTTCAACATCTATTATATATTTGAATATCAAGTACTAATCGTATAAATATAAAAAATCTCGGCTATGATTCATTGCACTTCTTTAGTGAACATATTCTTAAATCTTCAAATCCCATATTTATCACTAAAATTGAATGTCAAAAATATGATATGATTTAAAATTCAACGTTCAAATCTTCCAGATTTTAGAAATTTAAACGTAATTTTCAATATTTCAGGCCGCGGGTCTGTCCTAGTATACGATTTATTTAACATTTAAATATCCTTAAGAGGATTGAAGGGATGTACACTGTACAGCAGTTGGTAAATTATTCCTAGTATATTATTGTACTTGATAAAATTTCCCATCAAAAAATCATTTCTCCTTCTTCCCATTTTTATTCTAATTGAACATTTTTTCTTCTTCTGGTGAATCCAGATTAAATTGATGGTATGAAGCTAATAAAGAATAATTTATCTAATCCTGAAAGCTTAAAAATAAAATGTTGTCATGTTGCCGTAAATAGTGACAGCTGTTTATATGCCTAATATAACATGAATTAAAATACTAAGAACCTTTCATTAAGTGCACCATCTAATATAGAAGTTAATACCATCTATTCTTACAATTTAGGTTAAATTATTAGTCATACAAAATTAAAAGCGTTAACTGGGCCTAGTTGTAATACAAGCAAGAAATGCAATTTGTGTAAACTTGTATTACTTTTCTTGCTAAACTTATTTGATATCAGATTATTTTATGCTTTCTCCCCTCTACTCCTCTCCCTCTCTCATTAATACAAACATAAATGAAAGAATCCTATATTAAATAACTGTTAATAGATAATATTTTTTGCATAGAAAGTGATGATTTAAAGTATTCTGTACATCAAATGTTTTTTTGTAATTCAAAGAAAAAATTATTTTGTTCGCTGAATTGCTGCTTTTTGGGAGAAATAAATGATATGGGATAAATTTTTAAAACAGGAAACATTCTAATTTACATTTAATCATTAAAGTTGGAAGTAAGGAGGGATGGGGGCTATAATTAAAAAAAATTGGTTACTTGACAACATCCTGAAATCTTGACTCCTCTTGATAAATGGATCTGTTTGTGTTCAGTTATGAAAAAGTAGGTCAAAACATGGATATTTTGTTGTAAACAAGTGACTTTTAGGGTAATAAGTACACTGGGAAGGAATAGCTAGGGGAGTTTTTGTTAAATTTTGATGAGTGGTTAAGGATGGCAGGATGTGTTTTGATCAGCCCATTAAGATTTAATGTTTTATTACCATGATTAACTTAAAGAGCTCATTGTCCTCAATTGAAATAGTAAATATTTTCTATTTTTAGTTTGTCATAATCTTTTAACTATTTTGCACCTTTGCACTACATAAACAATGTCACTTGCATTTTTTCGGACACTAGCTCCAGATTTTAATGCTACATGTAAATCTGATAATAACCCTGATAGATGCTCCCTTCTAACAGATGTTTCATCTAATCCATCCATTTCTAATATTTTTATTTCTTAAAAAGACTAATTTACTTTAATTTTTGATATTACATGTAAGTCTTAAACCTAAGTATAGAACTACACAACAATTGAGCATTATCTTCATGTTTGTTTTGAACTAATTTCTTTTTTTGTCGGGAATGTTTTATCTTCTATGTTGTCATCACTATTAATTACATTAACCTTATCATTATCTTATTTGAATATGTATTATTGATAATACAAAAATATGTCATTTAATTTGGTATATTTACAAATCCAGGAAATTGAGTGCTTAAATTGCGTAAAAGAAAATAAATCACCATAATCAAGATAATGTTGATTAAATGAAGGTTTTGATGTAATCCTAATGTGAATTGAAAATATCATGTTGATAAGTAGTAAGATTTAAAAGTAAACTGTTTATTTGATCAATCTAAACTAATTGAAATTTAAAAGTTAAATGTTTAAAGCATTGTGGCTATTGAAAAATTAATCTTAATTATCTAAAAATCTTCATCATCTTCATCATAATAATAATCATCATAATAGTCTTCATCATCCAAAGCTGCAGTCTCTACTTCTTCCTCCTCATCATACTCCTCAGATGACTCTTCATCATACTCATCCTCATCAGATTCCTCATCTTCTTCATCCTCCTCCTCATCATCATCTTCTGATTCTAGAGCCTCAGTCTCAATTTCTTCCTCTTCCTCATACTCTTCTTCTTCCTCATCAGCTTCCTCCTCTTCCTCGTCATCCTCTTCTTCTACTGTTTCATCTTCCTCAGTTTCATCTTCCTCAGTTTCATCCTCCTCTGTTTCATCTTCTTCAGTTTCATCTTCTTCAGTTTCATCTTCTTCAGTTTCATCTTCAAGATCTTCCTCTTCAAAGAGTTCAACTGCTTCTACCTCATCAATTTTAGCATCAGCAACCTCATTGGCTTCCTGATTTACAGATCCAAAGATGGAGAAAGCAGAGACAGATGCAACCAGGAGAAGAGGCAACAAAAACTTCAAGAGCTTCATGATGTCTGATTTGATTACTGTGTAACAATATCAGGTTAAAACTAAACTGATGCTAATCTGATTGAGTGGCTGATATATAAGGATAGCTTTCTTAAGGAACAGATGTTTCCTTCCTCCACATCATAAGTTCCACGTCTCATTTTAATTACTATAGTTAGGTATTTAGATCAGGGTTATGATAAGCCAAGTGTTTTTTCTCTGCGTAGAAGATTATCAGTTGTTCATCTTAAAGATTTTAAAGGATGTGGATTTTTTTTCTTCTATTAATTGAGAAGATGCTAGAACACTTATATTTAATGCTATTCAATAAAAATACCTGTACAGAAAAAATTAGCCAATACTAGGTTATTTCTTGTTGTTTTATGACAAATTTATTCATAGCCTCAAATAAAAAAACCTCAACTGTTATGGTGTAGGAGGTTGAGTTTTATGATTTTATGAGGAATTGGACTATTTAGTTAAAATAATATATAATTTACTCAACAAAAAACCTGTTTTTCTTTATTTTTTCTTTTATTTGGGGGGTGGGGGGGCTGTTGTGTGCAAAGTATTAAAATTTATAATTGACTCTAAAGGTAATGTGCCGCACTGAAGGCAGTCTGTGGGTTCACTTCTGGTTCTCTTTCAGATATTCACTTGATTTGATGAAAAATGACTTTTCATTAGAGAAATTATATTGGGACTAGACCCTTATGATGTGAATAAAGGTAACACATGTAGCAGAGAGAAATTGAGGTATTATATATATATATACATATTTAGAGAAGAATTGCAGTTAAGCATTGGTTTACTAATAACCTGATCCTTGTTACTCAGTAACAAATGACCAAATCCAAAATCTTGAAGCTCTTGAAGTTTTTCAGATCCTTCCCTAATCTTATCTTATTTTATATTTATAAGGATGATTCTTGAATTAAGTACCCCATTTAGATCAAGGATCCCGTGGGACTTCCCTAGCTTCTTGAATTGAATTGAATATACTTTATAATGTTCCCTTATGTTCTTTAAAAAAGGAGTATGTAATAATATTTATAAATAATAATATATACAAATGGAATTCTTCTACCACCCCTGGTATGAGGGAGTGAATACATTTTGTCAATTTACATTTGGTCAACTTACATTTCATCAATTACTACATTGGGCAATTTACATTTCGTCAATTTTATATTTTGTCAACTAATACATTTAGTCAACAACTGTGACAACGGGCTAAAATTTGGTCAACTTTCATATTTAAAAGCATGATTCCCAATCCCAGCTTGAGTATCAGTAGAACAAATCCATGAATATTGGCACACAACATTGCAAATCTTGAGATTTCAGTAAGTTCTCATATTCAACATGGAAAACTAGGCTCGGGCTAATTTCATCTTGTCCAACAGGAAAAAGAACATTTTGGTAGATTGTCAGAACTTTGAGTACAAGAATCTACACCACAAATAATGAAGTGAGTCATGGAATGGTAGATGGAACACTATACATGAGCTACCTGCATGCAAAGATTTCATGTTTGGTCTCAGAGGAGACTTAACAACTCTGATGGCTTTTATTTGTCAGTTTTATTTGTACTTTTATTTGAACAATTGTAATATAAGCGATATCTAAATATATGTAAAATGTAGACACAAAATTGACCAAATTTACATGTGTTTGTATCAGTTGACCAAATGTAGTGGGATGAAATGTATCAGTTGACGTTTGGTAACAGTTGATCAAATGTAGTAATTGACCAAACGTAAGGTTGATTAAATTTAAATTGACGAAATGTAAGTTGACGAAATGTAAATTCACAAAATGTAATTTGACCAAATATACCCACTCCGGTATCAGGGGTTACATGCACAACAGCTTTTTTTAAAAAGTTTGTTGAAAGTTATGTTAAAAAATATGGATATTATGATTTTTAGCCCCATGATGCGCAAAGTTTATGATTTTCTTCTGATATCAATAACAGCATAGGGTTTTAGTCCTAATATTATGGTTTTTGTGTATTATTTTTAAAATTTGTATGTGTGGGTCTCCACAGTGCAGTTGACCAAATAGACTGCCAGGCTAAAAGTTGTGTCTCAAGATCAAAATTTATTTTTATCAATTCCTAATGGTTATGAAAGTCATATTAAATGATTTTCAAAATCTAAAATTCCGTTTGACATGCAAAAAAAACATTTTTAAATTTCGCGGATTTTCTCTGAAAATTTGGTCTAATTAGATAAGATAAGATAAAGTTAAAATAAATGTATCTGTATACAGATATAGTTTACAATTACAAATTGATGATTATATTAACAGTACAAGTATAAAGCAATTAGGTGGAAAATAGCTCTTGGCTGTTTTGATTATTTTTTCCACCTAATTTTGGTAATAATAACAAAACATTTCAATTAAATAGATTTAAGGAGAGTGATGAGAGATCAGGGTGCGAATTTATCTTATGCAAAATAGTTTATACATTAATTCGAATAACTAGAGTTTAAAGTAATTTTCGACATGTAAACAACAAATATCAAAGCATATTAAAACATATCTAATTAGTTTTACATGAATAGCAATTCGGTTTATAACACATTGTCCTGTAATTTTCAAAAAGAGAATTTAGTAGTCTATTTTTAAATATACTTAGAGAGTTGCTTCTTTTAAGTCAAGAGGCAGGTTATTCCACATCTTAAGAAGAGAGCTTGATGGTAAATAAAATATTAAAATATGTTAAAATTATATATTTCCATATTAAATAGTGGCTGTTTAGGTTACAAATAATCAAGTTAATTGATTCTTCTTCCTCCAAACTGTTTTACAGCTGACAGCAATTTATCTCCCTGCTCTGTATGCCCTTCTGCCCTGTTATATTGTGACCAAGTTGGTTTGAATTTAGCATGAATTGATTCTCCAACCTGTTCAGCATATCTACCCAAACCACATTTATGAGATAATACAAAAGGTTCAACGTGGCACAGGAGAATATGAACTTTCCATGTTAAATGATAATTTTTTTCCTTTGTTTTCACAGAGTTCCTGGAGGGAAAGAAATGAGTTTTTTGGACTAACTTACTTTTTTTTAATTCCTGGCTCCAGTGTGTTTCCAAAACATGCACTTTCTCTAAAGTGTTTTAACATTCAATAAACTGAATAAGATGAGGAACTGTCTTTCTAACTTCTTCTTCAAGGGTATCTTAAGTGCTTAAGAATTGTATTACTGTAAAAAGCAAATAGTTTTACTAGTAAAATATTTAATCACTTATATAGTGATATTGGTCTGTTTACACTGCACAATTGCTGTGTCTTATGTTCATTTGAATATTAAGTCATAACTAATGTCTAAAAGTCTTCTTCCTATTTCAGAAGTTTCTGGTTAAAACTGTAAGCTAATGTTCATTTAAATTCTTAATTAAACAAGGTATGATGATATACTAAGACAAATAATCTGGAAGGATCATTTAAATTTAAAGTTTTTTAATTGAAAAATTTGAACAAAGTAGTTAAATCTTTGCTACAAATTCAAATTTTTTAATCCCTATATTTGTTTAACCTGATGTAAAAACTTTTTTTGGGGCATTGACAAACTTTTAAAAAAAGTATTATGAAACAAACATACTAAACATTAGTCAGGACTTATCTAGATGATAGGGATGTTTTTAAAAAATTACAAAAAGTTTAAATCAAAGAAAATAAGAATAGGAGGAGAAGGAAAAATGAAAAATATGGCGTACTGTTGATTTTAGTAAATAGTTTGCATGTCCTAGAAAAGGGGAGAAGATTAGAATAGTATTCATCAACATAGCTCTGCAAAATTATGAATAGAAAACTAACATCTTTCCAATTCACAGCTAAAGCAGAGAAAATCAATTATTTTCAATACTTATTTACTTGCAAGACATTTTAATTTGAAGCAAGAAAACTCATTAGTTTCTCAAAAAAATATGTCTTTAGTGTACTTTTAAACCTATTAAGAGATTTTTTTCGTTTTAATGTCCACTGGATCCATCAATGATTTAAACAAATTTGCAAATGAAGAAGGGTGTTTACTATTGTAAATTTATTAAAAATATAGATATCATCAATTTAAAAATCTTAAGCTGAGAGAGAAAAAGGATTACTATGTGATTTGAAATTCTTATTATTTACAGCTCTTACTACACTTTTTTGTAAGATTTTAACTTGATACTTTAAATTCATGAACTCATAGAATTACTGTTCTAGTACAGGAGGTATTTTTGGCTGATTCTTAACTAATTCTGAAACAATTAAAACAAATCTAATACAGCTGTAATTAATAAGAGAGAGGTTTAATAGGACATAAATCAATTTTTTGATTTATGATAACAAGTGGAACATGGAGATAGTTGTGGATGGTGAAGGAGTGGGACTGGAGTGAATGGGGTACATTAGTTCTTTCTCATGGTAGGTCCATTTTAGGGTCTTTATATTTCCTGTAGCTCTTAGTAAACATCACTTCAAATTAAATGTATTAATTGATAAGAACTCATTAAATTGACAATTGTCTAGTTCTGTAGATTTATGTGACATGGGTATTAGGCAAGGATAGAAGAGAAAATATAAGAATATGAAAGAAAAACATTTATTAAAGAATTTAGATTAAAATTCCAATTTAAAATAAAAAATTATATACATATTTAGGTGGTTAACCTAATCATAATAGTAATCATAGCGATTCTAATATTAAAAATCTTCTTAATCTTCTTCATCATAATAATAATCATCATAATAATCCTCATCATCCAAAGTTGCAGTCTCTACTTCTTCCTCCTCCTCCTCCTCCTCCTCCTCTGATAACTCTTCATCATACTCATCTTCATCTTCATCATCCTCATTGTCTGATTCTAGAGCCTCAGTCTTAATTTCTTCCTCTTCTTCTTCCTCTTCCTCCTCATCCTCATCTTTTACGGTCTCATCTTCCTCTGTTTCACCTTCTTCAGTATCATCTTCTTCAGTTTCATTCTCTTCAGTTTCATCTTCTTCTGTTTCATCTCCAAGATCATCTTCTTCAAAGAGTTCAACTGCTTCTACCTCATCAGTCTCAGCATCAGCAACCTCATTCACTTCCTCATTTACAGATCCAAAGATGGAGAAAGCAGACACTGATGCAATAAGGAGAAGGGGCAGCAAAAGTTTCAAGAGCTTCATGATTATTAATTTGGTTGTTTGTTTAAGTGTTAACTAGAACCAGGTTAAGAATCAACTGTTGCTGTTCTGGAAAAATTTCCCCTAAATAAGAATAATTTCTCTTCTACATATGTTAGCATCCCACACGTCTCATTTTGATTACTCTAGGTCGTTAGTCTATATAATTAGGCAGTTTTACTGTTTTAAAGTGCTCTGTTTTGACAGTCTTAACTATTTTGTCAAAATACTCTAAAATAAGGTTTTTTTCATACAATTCTTTTCACAATATGATATAAATAATCTGTTAATAATTTGTTATTTCTGAATAATCCAAAGTTTTATTAAAAGCCTTTTCCATATTTTAGAATTAAACATGGTAAACTATGAATTTATGGTCATAAGTTTGAAGTCACTAATTGTACTCACTGAAGGTCCTTTCATTAAAAGATTTATTGTTCAGATATGTTCAGGTATCTATTTAAGTATAAATTTGGCTTGTCTGGGTGTCTGTTTGTTTGAATCCAATAAACATCAAAATGGCTGAACCGATAAGGCCCAAATTTTTTTGTGGGACATCACATGACCCCAGGGAAGGTTTATGAAGTATAAAAATTTAAAAATTTGTATTTAAACAAATTTTATTTTTGTAAAATTTTTTAAAATATAGAAAATCCGCGAGTTTCTTTTTAAAAATCCGCGAAATTTGTTTTTTTCTTTGTTTTAAAATGTGCACAAAGAGAACATGTTCACAATTTAAATAAAAGAAGCGCCCTGAAGGCCTAGTATTCAATATTTACTTTGTATTCTTGGAAAATTCTCCAGATTATGTAAATGCTTGTCCTTCTAATCCTAGCCAGGAATAATTGCCTGATATTCTACTTACAATCATAGTCATGCAAGAATACTTCAGTCTAACTAAATCTGCTGATATAAATGATATTAACACATAGATTTTTCTTAATATTTTCACATGAAACAGAACATTTTGAAAAGTTTTTAAAATAGAAAATAAAAAGTTTTCATTTGTGACTAAACTAATATTTGGGGGAATAAAAAATCTGGAGGTGACTGATTTCTGAAAATATTTACATGTAGTTTTAATTATCGACTTTGATAATGCTTATTGCAGTATGAATATCTAAGGGACTACTGGTCTAATTAAACATTAGGCAAATTCGTCTTACCATATTATTAATTTGCTAGAAAATTTACTGATGTTTAATTGTTTTCAGATGTATTAGAATTAAAAATGAGTTTTCTAAAGAAGTTGACCAAGGATGCTAAGAAAGCAGTGTCTTCTATGGGAGATAACGTTGATCGAGGTAGGATTAATACTTATAAAGCTTGAATGGATTTATGGGTTAGGGGTTGCATTTAGATTAAGAACACCATTATATTTTGTTAAACACATTAAAAAAAGTTGCATTAGTGCATGATACACATTTAGTATGTGGTTTTTTTTAGATTTAATACACACAAATTGTATTTTATTCTAATATTTTTTTCTGAATGCAACCCCACAAACAATCCTTGTCTCTTAAAACCTTTTTTATCTTGCTCCAAATCCCTATATTCTACCTAACCTTGAATGGTTTTCTACTTTAAACTTTTACTCCTGCGTCGTTTTTTTATTTTTTATTTTTTCTATGGGTGACCATTAATGGTTTACTAATTAAAATCTTTAATTTTCCTAAGCATAATATTATTGGATAAGGTAAATTAATTAAGTACTCAGATGTAGATCAAATAGTGACTCACAAACATGCATAGAGATAATTAGGTATTTTAGAACAGGTGTTTAGTTTATCAATTAGTATATTTAAAGTTATTATTCCTAAGTCTATAACTTCAATTCTTCACACACAAACAAAAAGTTTCCAAACAAATAAGTTCTATTTTGATAAAATGCGCGGAAACTGATTTATCTTTTAAAAATGTCTTTAACTTTTTTTGCGTTTCGCAAAAGTTGGCAACTTTGAAATAAATTTATTACAGGTATCAAATGAATGAATTAATTTTTACTGTTCACTTTTTAAAAAATGATCTAAGTGTTTAATATCTAAAAAGCTTTAATCACTTACCAATAAGATATCAAAGGTCTTAACTCTTTTGTGGAGTATGTTTGATATTTTACCCTTGTATTAGCGTCATCCCTGCAGGGTATGATTCCCATGGGATATGGATAAGGAATTAAATCCATCTATAAAACTGCCTAAGATGTGATCTCAATATTCACAACAGTTTTGACTTGTTCATGTTTCCTAAATAAGTCCAATCCATTAAAAAGTTCAAAGTTGAAAATTTGTTCTCAATTTAACACTCCTATTTTTCACCCTTTTGATATATCATAAAAACACATCCCCCCCCCCTTCATATACCAAGCTTTGTTGGAACACTTCTCAAGTACTGTTTCTTAACAATGCTAATCCTAATTTTTTTCCCCTGTGTGATAAATATTTTGTTTTATCTTTTCATGTGAAATCAGAGCTGAAAACTTTAGAATGGTGGATATCAAGATTAATGCTTAAACTCCTGGTTTTACTAAACCTAAGATTATTTTAAAACACATTCAATATCCAGGAAAGCAGTTATAAATTTAACCGATCAGCGTGTCATGTTAAGATGTACTCTTTAACTTTTGAAAAACCGGTTTTGATTTCTGGTGTCATATCAATTGAACTAAACGTCTATTGAACGAATGTAAGTTTTGGATTAATGTTTATAAAGACAAACGTTCAAAATGAAAATAGTCCTAAAATATGTTTTTTAATAATTTCATATTAACATGATTAAATATATATTTGTTTAAATGCTCTAAAAGCCGGCTTGTGAACAGCTGACTTTGATTCAATCAGATATTAGTTAAATCGATATATCATTGTATCTGTAATTGTTATCAAACATAACTTTTATACAGTAGAAATATCCAAAAAGAGGATTATAAGAAGAAAATCAGAAGTGTGTACATAGGATAATCAGATTAAGCGATCGTGATTAAGGATATCTCATTCTAAAGTTTTCAGTTCAATATTAAGAAAACTTGTGGAGCCTAATGCAAATGCAAATGTTAACATTTAACAATTTATGTGTAAAGTTTTTTCTTACTTTCTTTACCATCATGAAATTTCTTCTCATTAGAAGTGTTGAAAAGTAAAATGTTCACAAGAGATGAGCGTGTATGGCTTTTTTCATTTGAATTTTTTTTTTCAATAGTTAAAAAAAGTTCTTAAAATTATTGTTAATTTTCTATCTATTTTGTTCGTTTTCTCACTAAACGATCGTTCAATAAAATCGTTCAGTAAAATTTTTTGTTAAATAGTCGTAAAAGAATTAGGTTTTAAAAAGTTTGTTCCAAAAAAATCATGCGCTCAGTAAAAAGAATAATTTTTCTAAAATCTTTTGAAAATTCGTTTGTTTAGAAAAAAAACGATAGTTTTTCAAGTTCTTAAAAACAATTTTGAATGGTTTTTGTTTCGTTTTATTTAATAAAATGATATTTTTTTTCATTTCTCTGAACGATCTGAGTTATTTGTCCATGGTTTTTTTTCTGACCGACACCATTGTTTATTCAAAATTTTTTTTGTTCTGAATAATTTGGTTTGTTCACAAAAACGATGCCCATCTCTAATATTCACGAAAACAATGCCCATCTCTAATGTTTACAAAAACGATGCCCATCTTTAATGTTCACTAACAAATTTGGAATTTTTAAAACTATTTCTCAAAGGGCACATTTCCAAATGACATTTTATAATAGATAATTTCTGTTTGCCCCTTGGGCATCACAATTATCTTGTATGTTTAATATTTTTCAACCACCTTGGAATTACAAATATCCTTTCTTTAATTATTTAAGATTAATATCTAAAATTAATTCTCTTAAGTTTACAAATTATAATGCTAAGGGTGTGAGTAACAATTTTTTGCATAGATATTTGAACTAACATAGATTTGACACAAAATCATCAGAATAACCCATTTTCTTATCTGTCAATTTTCTGTCTTATCTACATAAGTTCATATATTTGGGATTATTTATTTTATACTTCTAGTGCTCTGAAGTAGATTAACTAACCGTCAAGTATAAAGTGAAGTATATCTAAGTAACATGAAAGGTACCTTAGTTTCAAGCACTTGCTTGATTGACACTGCTTGCACAAATGGGGAATGCATGATGAGTAACTGAAGGGTGTAGAATATAAAAAATATCAGTTTAATTCAGTGGTAGTTAATTTACGCATGTGACACATTTATTAATTTTTTTCGGACCTTCTGTTCAAAGTACTTGATCACCTAGGTACTCTTCTTAGCTTGTCCTGCTTGTTTCTTTACGTTTTTTATATAACACTAGCTCTAGTGCCTGGCTGCCCGTAGAATTTTATGACTTAAAAAAAAAAAATTTGAATTATGAAAAAAAATTGAGTTTCCTCAAAAAAATTCTGCCAATTCGGTCCAGCTTTATTATATAGAAGATTTATAAAACAAATTTAATGTAAAATAATTATCAAACTTTCTTGCTATTGCTTTGTTCTAGTGCTTTTGGTCGATTATTTATGCAGGAGCTCAGTGACGTTAGCCTCGATTGCGGTGTTCAGGCTCTCCAAGATGGGGTAGGGGTGGGGGGGGGTTCAGATCATTCCCGTATCTTATATTAATAAAATTTTAAACATTTCTTGATACATGTCAGAAAATGATTCGGGGAAATTGACTGTTTTATCTTACTATTTCGGTCCATTTTTTTTTACAATTATTCAGCATAGAATTAAAAGATAAAATTTATTTTTCATTCTATTTCAGTAACCCGGAACCTTTAGCCAGTGGGTATGATTAGAATCTGCATAAATATGGGGGTCCAAAGAAATGACGAAACTTCCACAAAAACATTTTGCTCAGAAAACACGCATTTTTAGTGTCAACCAATGAGACATCCCTTATACCTTTCCAATCATTGGATGCTTTATTTAGTTTCCGCATAAAAAAATAGCAAAAACTGAAGAAAAAACTTTTTAAAATTACTTTTGGATTTGAATTCATTTTTTTACAGGAAGAATTCAGGATGCGAATCCGTATCTTACAGGGTTATAGGGTAAACAAACCGTTAGCGGATTGTGATTGCTCAGATACAGCCCTCCTGCTCCAACCGGGAATTTTGCCCCTGGTTTTCAATATTAAAGGGACTGTAATCGTAATCTTTAGTGTCCCTCCAAGCAAATATGGCATTACCCAATTTACATTGGTACCCTTGAAAGCTTTGTCTGATCAAATATGAATTAGTGGGTTCTCTGCATAAGTGAAAAAGATAAATTTTTTCTAAAGAAACAGTTTTAAAATCAGTAAAACGACATACTCCATTTTAATCAGATGAAGATGTCAAGGGTACCGTTGTAAATCGATATTGCCGTCTTTGCTTCAAGTCGCTTGAAATTATGCTTACAGTCCCGTTGAATATTGTCCTTAAAAATCAATTCTCCTACTGTACATGAATCAATTCTCCTACTGTACATGAATCAATTCTCCTACTGTACATGAATTCCAATGAAATGTTAACTTCCTAGTTCTGCTCTCACTGGAATTACATATATTTTGAAGACAATGGAATTTGTAGTTATAGTTTTTTTTTTGCTTCTTACTGTAGCCATTTTCTAGTGAATCTGAACAGGCAATCTTTAATTTACCCAAACTAGAAACAGTGCTTTTATAGTTCGGTTACAGGATTTTTCTTACCGGTACAGGTCGGATATTCCTGTATGCGGTCTGGTTTGCACAAAATGGGGCTTCTTGCAGATCTCATCTCACATATTACATATCACAGAGTATGATTTCAGAGCTGCATTATTAATTTAATTTAAATCCAAATGATTTAATCAACACATCAAAACAATTTTACTTTTTCAGAAGGTTTTATCATTTTGAAAGAAGTCCCCTGCATCCTAGTCCCCATTGAAAGCTTTCCTTGTTTGTTGATCTTAAACTAAGAGAGAACTGACAGTTCTATTTCTGTTCTTGCTTAAGCTAGAAGACCTTATTATAAGTAAAAATCATATCTAGAATTATTCAGACTAAATTAAAGGAATTGTGAGTTGTGAAGATTTTAAATTTCTGACAAATGAAACTTCTGTTTTTAATATTCTATTACTTTCTCAATATGTTTTCCTTTTTTAACAGACAAGACAGAAATAGATTGTGCCTCTACTTTTGGTTTAAAATGTTGGTATATTTTTTAAACTTGGAGCCTCAATTGTGGTCAGGACTAAGCTTTTGTTTTTAATCTTAAGTACATGAAATTTCCAAAAAAAAAAATTTAACAAAATTTCGGGATTTTAAGGTAGTGCAAAAATGTCAGGATTTTATATCTTATTTATTCTACTCCTAGCCCTGAAAAGCTTTAGTTCTCCTTTTTATAAATCATCGACACCTGATAAAACTTATTAATGTTTGACAGAAAATAAATTTGAAATATTGAATTTCCCTCATATTTTCCAAGCTTTTAGTTACAGTTTATGAATCATTAAAACTCGAAGATAGCGCAAAAATTTTATAACGGTTAAACTTCAAAGATGCACACTCACAAGTTTGAGACATTCTTGCAAAACACATGAGATCCCTACTATAGTTCAACCTTGCAAACATGTTTTAAATAAATAGTAGTTGAATATTTATTAAAACTACATTTTATTTAGATTTATCTAAACTCTGCACAAGACGTTTGTTAACCTACTTTAAATATATATTTGCATGCCAAAAATTATTAAGTTATATTGGCAGTATACTAAGAAATTTCAAAGGTATCTCCTCACCTTTAAAAGTAAAAAATTGATGTGTAATATCATTTCTCTAAGAAGGCTAAAAATTGTTTTGGTGCAATAAAAAGATAATAAATAAGAGTTTTTTTTAAGCACTCAACAGTTGTTAACATAGTTCAGGGGGAGAGAGGGGTTGGTGGCTGGATTACTATCTAGCACTGCTTTTACAATAGAACTTTGCATGCTTAATCATTTTCCTTAAGATTTCAAATATGATGAAGTCAGATTAACTAATGGTTCAAATCTATCAGTAATATATATAATGCATGATGTTACTGGAAAATTTATATTTCATATTTGCTTTAGAGTTCGGGTGTTGTATTTCAGGAGGGGGGGAGGGTGTTGTATTTTCAGTATTGGATGTCAAACATATGAATAGGCAACAAAAAAAACTCAATATCTGAAATATCGGGACATTCTGAGTTTTATGATTGATTTTACATTTTTTCCAGGTTTATCTCGAGGGCAATCAATATTCTCTCACATGGGTGAGGAACAGCAAGTGTTCCTTCATGGATATCTGATCATCAAGATTATCTCTGCCAGGTAGAGAGGGGTGTTTTTCATAATCAATATTCATGGACATTTTACATTGTAATTAGTACGTACTTCATGTATACTTGGTGATCAAGATTATCTCTGCCAGGTAGAGAGGGGTGTTTTTCATAATCAATACTCATGTACATTGTACATTGTAATTTGTACGTACTTCATGGATATCTGATCATCAAGATTATCTCTGCCAGGTAGAGAGGGGTGTTTTTTATAATCAATATTCATGTACATTGTACATTGTAATTTGTACGTACTTCATGTATACTTGGTCATCAAGATTATCTCTGCCAGGTTGAGAGGGGTGTTTTTCATAATCAATATTCATGGACATTGTACATTGTAATTTGTACGTACTTCATGTATACTTGGTCATCAAGATTATCTCTGCCAGGTAGAGAGGGATGCTTTTCATAATCAATATTCATGTACATTGTACATTGTAATTTGTACGTACTTCATGTATACTTGGTCATCAAGATTATTTTGGCCAGGTACATGGGGGGGGGGGTTATATTTTGTTCATAATCAATATTCATGTACACATACTCTTTCTACGATTGGTTTTGATAATCTAGGAACTGGATTTTTTGTAATAATTTTGTCCATTTCAAATCAAAATGAAAATGTTTTTTTCCTGAGCTCTTATTTAGGATCAAATGCTAAAAATCTAGTCACCTGAAATTCTTTTAAATTTTGCCTGATATTTCCGATTCAATTGACATTTTATTATTTTTCAACTTAGTCTCTATTCTATCTTATTCAAATATTTTTAAGATGATCTTTTTAAGATATGAGAAGACTGTATAGGTGTTTGAATTTTTTTTCACCATTCATTCTTGCCAAATATTCCAGTATTCTCAGATTTTTAAATTCTGCATTTTATGGCCGGCTAGGTTATTAAAATGATTTTGTTCAGCAAATATTAAAAATTGAATATAATTCAGATTTCTTTGAACTTATTAAGTTATCATCTTTTTAAAATAAAAGGAAAAAAGTGTATGGAGGGGGGTAGGAAGGGGGTTTTGAAGGAGGGATTGAGGGAGGGGGAAAGAGGGATGTGAGGAGTATAAAGTGATGTAAAAGAGATGAAGGGAAAAGGGGATTTAGACTTGTTTATTCAACTTTAAACATCTTTCAGGGCAGTTATTAAGTTTTGCATCGAATCGAATAGCATCTATTTGTAAGAAACTTAAGGAGAGCTAGATACTAAATGATATTTTAAATGTAAAATTTAATATTTTTACATTTAAAGGTTTACATGGCCGATTCACAACAGTACCTTTGCAAAAACTACAGTTGAAACAATCCTTATTTTAAATTATAAACATGGATGTATAATGTATAATTCATACTTAATCCAACAATGCATTTGGGCATGTTGTTATCTTTGCATGGAGTATCATTTAAAAATACGCATACAGTACAGTCCCTGAAAAAGCAAAAAACAGAGGCATGCAGTATTCACAACGGTACCCTTGCAACCTCTGATAATAATGTGGAAGCTATAACATTTTTTGTTTTCCTGGTAATTTGTTTAATTTTGATAATTTCTCCATTATTTCTGAAGCAAGAAATGCTCAAGTCATTTTAGCAGAGAAACAACAAATGAAAGTAACCAGTTTTAAAAAGTTGATATTTATTTCATATTTGAAGGGTTCCTTCGTGAATCTCAAATTTTACTCTTTTACTAGAAGGTCACTTGAAATAAGTTTCTCTTAAAGAAAGCTCCCCCCCCCCCCCCCCCCC